CTTAAAGTTTTTTTTAAACAAAATATATATATATATATATGTTGAGATATTATATTTATTTTAGTTTGATTGAATTTTTTTTAAAAAAATGAATTATGGACGAAATTGAAAATAATTTTGAAAAAAATAGATGAAAATTTTAGTTCAGAGGGTATTTTCGAAAAAAAAATTTAAAAATAGGAGGTCAAAGTACAAATAGAGAAAGTTCGGCCACGTAGCAGTCTCGACGAACAGAAACATGCCGCGTGGCCAGTCACGCTAACATCGGTGCCACGCTAGCAATCCGCTTGCCCCACGATCGGACGGTTCAGGATCAACCCCGCGCGCGTAGAAGGCCTGGATCTGTTTTCACCTTAGGCCCGATCAGACGGTCGAGATTAATCGCGATGAACGGTTTAGATTCGTTTTTTCCTTAGGTGTGATCATACGGATGAGATCGATCGAGATGGACGACCTAAATTAACACGGATTAGTATAAATATTTTGCATAACATGAAACCCAAACGCTGGCCGCCCACCCCCCGGGGTGCCGTAAAAGAAGGATCAGACGCCATGGAAGGAAGTCGACCGCCAACCGCCTCAGCAGCCCAAAACCTGTAACCTCCTCCAATGAGTCCCTTTTCGGTTCCCCTTTCGTGTGATTTTTCTACCTTTGTATTCACCGTTCTATTTTATAAAGATTGACCGAAGGATGAATCCCAGCCGCGAAGGAGAGCCGGCGGAACCGCCATACCCTAAAACCCCACTACTGATAGGTTTCAGTTTCCTGATTCTTTTGGCCAACCGAAGCTCCCTAATGTGTTTTTTGCAAGGATACGTGTAAAGTCGATCGAAACCAGCCTAAACTGACCGAAAACGGTCAAACTGAGGCAAACTGTCAGCGCAGGCAGCGGCGACGTTGTTGGCGCATGGCGACAGCGCCATGCCAAAATCACGAAATTGGCTGAAATGGATTTTTAACACCGATTTTGAATTTTTGAGGTATTTTTTTGGGTACGTGAAGCGTGTTTAATCTCTGCAAGAAAATTCAGGAAATTTGGGGACCGCCAAGAGGCACGGTAGAAAGTATGGTGTTTCAGACACCGATTCGGGTAAGAATTTCCCACCATATTCCCTGTTATAGAATTGAAGTTTAATAATCAATCATATGGTATTTTATGAAATTTAGAAAATTTTGATAATAATTACAGGTCACTAATGGAGCCGGAATAAGTTAGTTAATTATTTGTCATGTTTAATTAATTATTTACTTATACAGCTTTAAATACATGATAATATATTAAAATAGTTAAATGATTCAGTTGTATTTTTTTGATACATATATCGCTTATTTTGCGTGATTTATGGTTGATTTGTGAAATGTGAAATTAATATACAAATAGAAAATTGCTTGATCATATGAATTAATAAATTGTTGTCTTACTGGATATCATGAGAGATGGTGGACGGATTAGGTATATAGGGAATTCTACTGTGAACATACCTCATACCGAACGGGGTATTGAGGGATGGTACTTTTGACACTTTATACTGGACAAAGTATGGAGATGACCTGATTCACCCTCATACTGGACGAGGTATTAAAGGATGTCATTTTTTGCGCTCATACTGGACGAGGTATGAGGACGACCGGTTAATTTACAAGTTTAG